CTGAATATATCTTTAGTTAGCGCGATTGAGTGAAAAATCACGGAGAAAAGCGAGGTCAAACAAACACACACTGACACACAAGATTAGCCTCATTATAGTGGTTAGGGTAATATCACACCCCTCACAGTAGGTCCTAGTTCCATTTCTCGCCGCCAGGGGATACTTTTATAGCTTTTTTATGTGACTTTTTGGGTTAGGGTTAGGGTTAGGGTTAGGGTTAGGGTCACAATCACGCTAGCGGGCTGTAAAAGTATCACCTGGCGGCGAAAAATGGAACTAGGACCTGCTGTGAGGGGTGTGATATTACCTCGACCCATTATAGTATAGTATGTATGAATAAATAAATAAATAAATAAATAAATATATAAATATATAAATAAATAAATAAATAAATATATATATATATATAGCAGTAGTAATATGCGCATTCACTCACTTTGAGTATTACCCTGCGACGTCACATCTGAAACAAGTAACAACAACACGGCGAAGACGACGATGACGTCATTTATGCTCAGCCTCCTGGGCATCTTGTCGATGCCGCATCCTTTAATCGTTATCATCATTCCTTAACGATCTCCTAATGTCAGTGTAGTAGTGTATATGCACTCTCCGGTGTACGTGAAGTGAGCTGCGCGCCGGTGTGTGCGCGTTTGATCGTACCTCCGAGTAGACCTCTCCCTTCTCGTGTAGAGGCGGTGTGTGTATTGACAGATGTTCTCTCTCCGCTGCGCAGGTACTCTCTCTCTCTCTCTCTCTCTCTCTCTCTCTCTCTTTCACTTTCTCTCTCTCTCTCTCTCTCTCTCTCTCTCTCTCTGGCTCTCTTTTGCTCTCGCTGGCTCTCTTTCTCGCTCTCTGGCTCTCTTTCTCTCTCTCCCTCTCTCTTCACACTCGACTAGTACGTAGTGTGCTAGTACGAGATGCTGCGACGTACATATAACAGACGGAGAGGATTGGATGCGTGCGTCACGACTGCTGAAGTGCCGGTGTGAGAGCGACGTCGGTATATATATCGGATCTTCCTCTCTCTCGCTCTCTCTTCTTCTTTTTTACGGTGGTGTTTGTTCGCTTATCAATCAAATATCTTCCGCGTAACGCATCTAGGTCAACGCCTTACCGCAGCGGAGTACCGGGAGACGTGTGTATGTGAAGAAAGGAAGGGGTGGAAAGGTTCTACAGGGGAGAGATGTGTGTGAGGGGAGGAAGGGGTTGGGAAGGTAACACAGGGGAGAGATGTGTGTGAGGGGGAGGAAGGGGTTGGGAAGGTAACACAGGCGAGCGATGTTTGTGGGGGAAGAGAGGGTTGGGAAAAGTTTGGAGCTTAAGGGGGTTTGCCCGCATCCCAGCATCTCAGCATCGCTGCACAGCCCACGCTAGATGTGGTTTCACTTTTAAATTCTTATCGTCACTTCGTACCACGTACGACATCGAGTGCAATGAGCCAACCCGAAACCAATAGCTAATCACTTAAATTTGCCCGCTCTATAGCCCGATCTATAGTTGTGTGTCAACATGGCAATCTCTGAGTCGTTTACTGCCCGGTTAAATCAATAAAACTATGGGCGTAGGGAGAGAGGGGGAGAGAGAAGAAAAAGAGGGGCGAGGCGAAGAAAGATAAGCCATGTGACATATCGCATCGATTGTGTGAAATTCAAATCTATTCGTGTGTGCCCCACCTATATTGGTTTAAGTAGCTGCGCTGAGGTGGGGCTAATATACTTGTGCGTGTGCGTGCACGTGCGTGCGTGCGTGCGTGCGTGTGTGTCTGTGTCTGTACGCGCGCGTGTATGTAAGTACATGTGTGTACGTGCGTGCGTGATTTTGTTTGGGAAGGGGTGTGTGAAAAATTGCGTGGGTATTTGGAAAAAACGTAATTGGGTTGTAGCTGGAACATAGTTGTAGAAAATGTATTAGGCACTAAAACCAAGGGTTTCTCTCACGCATTATGCGTATGACTGACGTTGGCAGGGGCCCTTCTATTCATGGGTTATGCTATTATAGCCCTACCTCCCTGGGCCTCTATTTATTTAACCCATTGAACTGTATATATAATAACCACTATACTATACCAAGTACTATACGACATACTATAATATACTGACCAGTGATTTAACCACTGCTAGAACCACATACGCCACCTCGTGGACGCCTAGTCAAAAACTAAACTATCTAAGTCACTGATCTCTATAATATAATCTCTATATTATATTATAGATAGAGATCAGTGCCATCTAAGCTTGAGGGCACACATGATAGGAGGCGGCGCTGCCATAAGGCTCGTAGTACGGTAACCCTACTATATAATGTATATAATTATGTCCAATGGAATATTCAATGTACCTGCTGACCTGATGAAGAAATGTAATCTCGGCAAAGCTTAGTCAATTAAACTTTTTTAAACAAAACCCTTATTCTATACCTTGACTTTGTTTTTATATATATATATATACTTAGTTTCTGATCTGGATAGAACGTGATAATCTAGTTCAGGCGGCAATAATCCCCACATTCTACCTCAATATTCACAGTCATTTATTTGCGATTCCTTCTTTCCCCAAAAAATCAAGGAAAGATACAATTCGTCCAAAACCAAACAAACACGTGTCAGTCCGTCAGTGTGCACACAGCTATAAATCCCGCTTCACCAGTCAGTTTATAATAATTTTTGGGAGTATTCAGTTCGATGGGAGAATATTATTTTAATCATATATAACATAACAATGATATATTAATTATATAACATAACAATGATATATTAATTATATAACATGATAATGATATATTAATTATATAACATGATTTTTTTTTGTTCGTTTTTTTTATTAAAAAATGTGGCGTAAATGCTATGCAGTGCGCTGGCGACGATAGTTGAGGAATTGTATACCTAATCTGCTAATCGACTAGAACAGTCTGTACAGTAGTCTAGTTTTCTAGAGCCATATAACGTGAAACGCTGCAGTAATATTACGTTGTAGGGTTAGTGCACCTGCCTCTAACAATATGGTCTAACTCGACGAATGCCTACCGTGAAGTAGCCATGCGGCAAAATTCTTCAACTGTCTATGCCTGATGTCAGATTGACACGCGATGTCGTCAGTCGGTTGCTCTTGCCTGCCCGTCTGACATCTCACGCACATGGCGTTAGCGCGCAAGAAGCCAAATAACAACACGATCATGTCTCATCCGCGCAGGGGGCTTTGTATCTGCCCAGTACGCCAACGATCACTAGACGGATACCACTCTAACGAATGCTCACACCAATGAAGCGATACCAAATACTTAGTATAACCGACAGGGCGCTCGCGCCACAGCATTGTATTAGGATGCCCGTCTCCCCCACTTTCCTCTCCACATTCTCTCCCCGGTGACTCCCTGTTGGTAAGCAACACTTAGCCGTTATGACGAGCAGCAACGAAAGGTACTTGGTTGGGAAGCTAACCGGCTAGCGTGATAAATGTCTGCACTCTACACGATTAGATTTCAATTTTCAGAAGCAGACCGCCCGTTGGTTATCATGCCAAGAAACCGAAATCCGTGCAGAAAACGCGCGATGAAAACGAGAGATAAGGGATTTTTTAGAAATAGAATAGAAAAGAACAAACACACCCAATTTACGTGTGAGGTGTGTCGGTGCAGCCGACTGCTGTGTGCGCTGTGAGAAGGCACCTTTTGCTACCCTAATCTTACTGTACCTTACTTAACGTGTACCAAGCCAGAACGCACTTTTTATGCTTGTTTAGCGCAGAAACAAACCATTATCACCACGTTCTAAACTAAGTATTAGGTTTTCGTCATCAAAAACAAACAACACACACCGCACGCACAACACACACACACAATCACACACACACAGCACACACACACTGACACCACACACACAACACACAACCACACACCCACGACACCTAAACTATCTACACACACACCACTATATTCTACACACACACGCACAGCACACACACGACGACGCACGCACACACAACACATACATACATACATTACACACACGCACGCACGCACGCCACGAACCGGCGCGCCACCTCACTGCCCGCACACACAAGGGGTTGGTCGATACCCACACACACCGACTACTTGTACAGCACAAACACACCCACGACCACAGACAAACACAACACCACTTACAACTGTGGTCGTGCGCCGCGCGCTCCGTAGGGCTGCTGCGCACGTGGCGAGGGTCACACATCCACACACACAACCCATGCAAACCCCACACCACAACACACACACACCCCGAAACAAACACAACCACACCACACATAGCCGGGGGCCATACAGTACACCGCCCACGCCCAACCACACACGAACACACACACACCACACATACACCACACAGCATTCATCATATCATACATTCATGCATACATACATACATACATACATTACACACACCCCACACACACACACACACACACACACAACACACACACCACACACAGCACACACGACACACACACACACACACACACACACACACATACACACCACACACACACACCAAACACCACACACACACACGGAGAGCCATTAACGAGTACGATCACTGCACAGTGTGAAGATGACAAACGAACACACACACACACACACACACACACACACACACACACATGACATAAATACGACACACTACCAACACAAGCCACACCATCAAACATACATTAACATACATACATTAATACAGTACATTCATACATACATACATACATACATACATACATACATACATACCATAACATACATACATACATACAGTACATACATACATAGCATACATACACACAACACACACACACACACACACAGCCCCCCCCCCCCCCCCTCACAACACAACAAACACACACACACACACATCACACATGACATACATACGACGAACACACACACACACACACACACACATACGACAAACGCACACACATTCAGTTATCATACATACGATTCATAGCGGGCATAAGCATTATCATACGATACATACATACAACACACACACACACACACACACACACCACACACACACACACACACACACACACACCCACAAACACACACACACATACATACATACGCACGAACACACCACACACCAACAGGAACATGACACACGATCACACAGTAGTCATACATAACGATACACTTCCAATACAAATATATGACATACATTTAGCATACATACAACACACACCACTCACACACACACACACACACACACACACACACAACACACACACACACACACACAGCAACACACACCACCAGCACCATTGCAGACAAACAGCGTGGATATCAACAATTATGATAATTGGTTTAGGTGAGCGGGAGACCGAAGTCATCTAACGTAGTCGGGTCACAAAGACCTTCGTCGATTCGTCGATTCGTCGATCGTCGATCGTCGATTCCGTCGAGATACATGTGTCGTCGATGCTGTCGATCTCTGGTCGATGTGTCCGAGGAGATAATTCGATTTCGACCCTTCGGTGAATTCGTCTGATTCTGAACTAGCGATTCGGCATGGGGCGTGAAATTCTGGTGGCATTCGGGAAGAATG